ATCCCTCCCCATCCCTCCCCATCCCTCCCCATCTCTCCCCGCATCTCCCCCAGGCGCACCTCTCCCTCCTCCGCGTGAGCGGCGAGGTCGAGTGGGCGGAGGTGCAATGGGCGACCATCCACACACTGCAGGCCCTGCAGTTTGTGCCGCTAGACCTGGGCGGCGGCGGCGGCGGCGGCGGCGGCGGCGGCGGCGGCGGCGGCGGCGGCGGCGGCGGCGGCGGCGGCGGCGGCGGCGGTTGCTGTGGCAGCGGTGGCAGCGGTGAGGGCGGCGGCGGCGGCGAAGGCGGCGGTAGAGACGACGGCGACCTTGTGGTGTGCGCCTGCTACGGCGCGAAGGTGGCGGCGCTGCGCCTGTCCGACGGCGTGTCACCCGTAGAAGAGGAGGCCGCATTCTCCCCATATCTCCCCATATCTCCCCATATCTCGTGCCTAGAAGAGGAGGCCGCATTCTCCCCATATCTCCCCATATCTCCCCATATCTCGTGCCTAGAAGAGGAGGTCGCATTCTCCCCATATCTCCCCATATCTCCCCATATCTCCCCATATCTCCCCATATCTCCCCATGTCTCCCCATATCTCCCCATATCTCCCCATATCTCGTGCCTAGAAAGAGGAGGTCGCATTATCCCCATATCTCCCCATATCTCCCCATATCTCCCCATATCTCCCCACATCTCCCCATATCTCGTGCCTAGAAAGAGGAGGCCGCATTCTCCCCATATCTCCCCATATCTCCCCATATCTCTTCATATCTCCCCACATCTCGAGCCTAGAAGAGGAGGTCGCATTCATGTACTCCAGCCAGCGCCCGAGAGGACACGCACTCCGCTGCAGTCGGCCGTACTCCAGTCGCAGTGCTGCAGTCGGCCGTACTCAGCCTCTGTCCTCGTAGCCCGTGTACCCACGCGGCGCTCTTAACACACCTCACCGTACCGCCTTCCCGCCCCGAGGTTGGCGTACTCAGCACGTAGGCTGCCCATATCTCCCCATATCTCCCCATATCTCCCGCCCCGAGGTTGGCGTATTCGGCACGTAGGCGCGCGCAGCTGCTACCGCACCGCCCACGGGGCTGAACCCACACCCAATCCGACCCTAGATCATCCATTTGAGGTGTGGGCCACTCTAGGCCGCCGACACTGGCTCGGCACGATCGCGGGCCCAGCCTTTGCCTCGCCCCTCGCCGACATGCGCCGTCGGCGGCTCTACGTGGCCGGCCCTAGAAGCAGAATACGTCTTCTTGTGTCCCAACTAGCGCCCGAGAGGGCCACATATTCCGCTGTCCTCCTCTCCGTTGCATTCACGCGGTGCTCTGAAGACGCTGCACAAGACCGTCTTCCCGCCCCGAGGCTGGCGTACTCAGCAAGTAGGTGGCCGACCTCACCGGCGCGCTGCACTCCTTCGGCTTTGAAGACGCGCAGCGAGGCGACGGCGACGGCGGCGGCGGCGGCGGCGGCGGCGTCGGCGGCGGCGGCGGCGGCGCGGCCTACGGCGGTTTTGCGTCTGCGTGGGTCTTTCACACCTCGGCGCGGCGCGGAGGCGAGCCCGGGAGCGAGCCGATCTTCTCGTCGCCGACGCTCGACGCGTCGTCTGGCGCCGTCTACTAGAAGCGCAAGACGTGTTCATGTCTCTCCCAACCAGCGCTCGGGAGGACACGGACTCAACTGTAGTCGGGGATACTCCGCTGCATTCATTCACTGTATTCGGGCCGCTCGTCTTCACGCGGTGCTCTGAGTACGCTGCAGAACACCCGTCCTCCCGCCCTCGTGCCGGCGTACTCACACCGCAGGCACCGTCTACTTTGGGTGTGTGGACGGGCTGCTGTACGCCGTTGCGCCCGAGGGGGCGCCGCTCTGGACGTTTGATGCGGCAGGGCCCATCTTTTCTGCGCCGTGCGCCTTCACCGCGTCGCTGGGCGCGGGGCTGGAGCGGCGGCTGCTCGTCACTTCGCAGAGCGGGCGTTTGCTCTGCGTCGAGGCGGTTCACGGCGCGCTGCGATGGGAGCAGCCGGCTGAGGTGTGCACGGGAAGCAGGATACGTGTTTCTTGTGTCCCAACCAGCACTCGAGAGACACGCATCCGGGTGTCGTCCGCTGTGTTCAGCTGTATGCACTGTCTTCCTACCCGTTGTCCTCACGCGGTGCTCTGAGTACGCTGCACAGCACCGTACTCCCGCCCTCATGTCGGCGAATTCACCGGGTAGGTGCACGGCCACTCGGCGCCCGCCGTCGACCGAGCGAGCGCGCAGCACGGCGTCGTCGCCGCTGATGACGTGGCGGCGCGCGTCGCGGTCGTCGGTGGCGTCGACGGCCGCCTCCACGCCTTCGATTGCGCGTCGGGTGCGCCCCTCGGCACCACGCAGCTGCCGGGCGCCGTCTTCTCCTCCGCCGCCCTCTGCACCGGCCGCGTCGTGGTCGGCTGCCGAGACGACTTCCTCTATTGCCTCGCGCTGCGCGCGCAGCCGGCGGCGCAGCCGGCGGCGGCGGCGGCGGATCGGCCGACGATGGTGCGTCGTCGTCCCGACGGCGGCGGAAGCGGCGGCGGCGGCGGCGGCGGCGGCGAGGGCTCTCCGACATCGTCGGAGTCGGCGGCGGTCGACGAGCGGCGCGTGGCGCGGCGCATCATGGCGATGCGTGGCGCGGACCACCGGTAAGACGATCGGATGACGTGGATGTAAGGTAAGGTGAGGTAAGAGGTAAACGTCTCCACACACACAAAGTGGTGGGGCAAGGGGGGGCGACCCTCGCATCTCCACGCCCGGGACACGGGCAGGAGCCCCACGGGCACGGCATATCAGTTCACAGAGTTCACAGACCTCGGTATTGTCTATGTAAAGGCTCTATAAAGCCGTATTGACAAGAACTCCGCTTGGCGCTGCGCGCTGGTCTATGAGAGTTGAGGTGCGGGAGCCCTGGAGTCGTGCGTGTGGAGAGGCCCTTGCCCCTGTGGGGCGTGGGTGCCGGGATGTGTCCATGCACATGTTGTGCATGTGCAGGTCACCTCGGGGCGGGGGGGAACTAACGTCTAACCACATCAAACTGGGCCTGTCTCTCTAGTGTCCTAGCTTGTGTGGGGGAGAGCTCTCGTCCTCCTCGAGGCGGCGCCCTGTCCGACGACGCGCCGGCGCCGCCTCAATACCTGCCGCCACCGCAGGTGCCGCCACCGCCGCGACGAAGATGTCGCCTGTTTAGCGACCGGGGTGGTGAGCGGCGACCAGGGTGATGAGCGGCGAAGGGGGACGAGGGGCACGGGAGTGGTGGGTGGGCGGGCGGAAGAATCCGGAAGAATCCACCTCCAGGGAGAGGGCGAGTGGGAAAGGTCTACGGTGGTCTCAGAGCACCGGTCAATGGACAGCACGAGTGTCCGCAGTACAGCTGCTGGTTGGCTCCGAGGCCGCTGATGACCCAAAGGTCATCGGGCGGCTGCGGCGGGCAAGTGGTGTTTACGACGGCCGTCGTGTTGAGCCGCTCGGCCCACTCGCCCGTTGTCTCGAGCGGGTACCTATCGCGCAGAGGCGGTGCGGTGCGCGGAGGTCAAGAGCCGAGGCCGGGCCGCTCCGGCCGAGACGCACGCAGTGCGGTTGAAGTTGGAAGACGCGAACATGGCATTCATGAACTCGACGTTGGAGACGTTCCAGGATGTCCTGGTTGAAGGGCGAGGCGAAGAACATCGAGGTCATGTCCCTGACCCTGACGTTGTGTACGTCCCACGTGCTGATGTCCTGGTTGAAGGCGAAGGCGCCCGAGAACATGGCGGACGTGGTGCGCACGTTGGACATGTCCCACGTGCTGATGTCCTGGTTGAAGTCCGTCGCACCTGCGCTCGCGGGCTCGGGATTGGGTCAAGGGGTGCGCCGAAGGGGTAATGTCGCCGTTGAAGCTCTCGGCGCCGTAAAACATGGACTCAAACGTTGTGGCGGCAGAGACGTCCCACGTGGAGATGTCGCCGTTGAAGGCCACCGCCTGTGCAAATATCTGCTTGAAGGTCTCGACGCTCGACGTGTCCCACCTGTGGTTTGGAAGAGGGGTGTGGATCGGGAGATACGGGCAGCCGTGGGGGGGAGGCGGTCCGTGCAGCGGGTCGGGTGAAGAGAGAGAAGAGGCGGAGGACGACAGCTCACGGCAAATCTTGATTGAAGGACACAGCGTCGTAAAACATGGACTCCATGTCGGTGACGGCGCCGGTGTCCCAGGTTGAGATGTCCTCGTTGAAGTACGAGATGTTGTGGAATAGACCCATCATGTCAGTGACTGCGCTCACGTCCCAGTCTCCGATCGGCGTGGCGCACGGGCCGGTTGCGGAGGGTGGGCCGGTGGTCGGCCCGCTTGTCGGGTAGCATTCGTCGACCGCATTCTTGAGCGCCGTATTCGACGTGAAGAAGGTGAGCGGCTGGTAGCCGCCAGGGTGCGACGCGAACGCCAGGGGTAGGCAGGCGAGCGCCAGCATGCTCTGTATGTGTGAGAACGACGGCGGGCGCCGCCCCCCCGGGGGGCCCGTTGGGGCCCCTCCAGGGGGCGACCCCTCCGGGGAGGCCGGCTTTCCCCGTGCCGGTTCTCCCCAACCAACCCCAGGAACAGCTTTCCCGCTCGTGAGGCGCCACAGATGCTTGTTCAAGAGTTCGTTGGAAACACCTGCGTGGGCGGCTTGGAACGCAGGGCCTGGAACGACTTTCTTGGCGCGTGCCAGATCCCGCTGCGACAGCGGTTCGGGGTCGGGCAGTAGCAAATTTGTCTCCTTCTCTTCCGTCCCGCTTGTCTTGATGGCGTAGGGGGTCTCTAGCCGCCTTCCTTGAGCCTGGACGAGGGCCACCGCGCCTGTGATCGAACGGGGTGGAAGCAGGTGAACGTTACTGCGATGTGACACGCCAAAGACAACAAGGGGGGGGGGGGGGGGCAGCCGCTGGTGGGTGGTTTCACCAATGACAGCAAGTGAGAGCAGCACCCACTTGATGACGCTGCGGCCAGAGGCGCCGACGTTTGTCTGTATCATCAACCTGGTAGAGCCAACGGCCTACCTATCGTGAGCAGAAGCTGGCCGCCGTGCACCGAAACGGCGTTCTTGGACGCTGCGCCGACGGCAGTTCGGGGCGCCCGAAGTGGCAGGGCTAAAAACCTCGAAATCTGCACCTTGGATGGCTGCGCTCCCTGTTTCGCAGCCATCCGTGCTAAGGATGGCTGGCACGCCTAGATCTCAGCCATGCACTCCTGATATTGGCGCTGCTGTGAATTCACTTGGACCACCAAGAGCTGGCATACATACAGCTGGCTGGGTGGGGCTGCAGAAGCAGCGCATCTCAGTCGTTCTTCACACGGCCATCGCAGAGCAGGTTGTGAATGAGCTTGCCAGCGGCGAGGGCGGTCGAGTGCACGGAGCTAAGTGCCTCGCCGTCCTCGCGGGAGTCGCTTAGGCGGCTCCACTGGTGTAGCTGTGTTAGTGCCAGCGCGCGCCATGTCCCGTGCCCAGTGTTGTGCGATGAGTTAGGTGGTCTCGGGGGACGAAGGGGTCACACCCGACGACCTCGGGAACTAGCCGGGGCAGTCGGAGAAGGGGCAACTCCGTGCACTGACGGTCGGCCGTCAGAAAACACGCCTGCGTGGATCGCGTCACACCAATCCTCGCTACCCAACGCGGCCAAAGGATATCCACCGTACTCCACCTCGCCGGCTGGCCTGGGCGTGCAACTTGAGTCGGCCTCAGTGGCGCGATTTCTGCCACGAAAGACGCCTCGCCGGCGCTGCATCGGCACCCGAAAGGCCGAACCTCGAGAGGGGGGCTACCAGCACCGAAAAATTGCCCATTTTTTGACATCATGGAGGACAACAAGCGCCGGGTCGGTCTCGACCCGAGCGTGGGGTACGTCACGCCGGTGGGCTCCGCACCCGGCGAGGGCCTCGTGCTGCGCAACAGCCTCTCGCCGCACGAGCTCGTTGCCAAGCCGATCGACGGCGAATACGCCAACGCGTACCAGCTCTTTACGCGCGGCGGCCTCCTCTTGCGGCCGATGGAGCCGTGCTTTGGCAGCCGGGTGCGCGAAGACGGGCGCGTCGGGAGCTACGAGTGGCAGACGTACACGCAGGTGAGCGCGCGCGTCGACTCAGTCGCGGCGGCGCTGTGGCACTTGAGCTTGGTGCCTCGCGCCGGAGACGGGAAGCGCTTCCTCGGCTTCTTCCTCAAGAACTGCCGCGACTGGATGGTGTGCGCGCTCGCGGCGTACAAGACCAACGTGGTCGTCGTGCCGATGTACGACACGCTGGGACCCGAGACGGTGGGCTACATCCAGCGCCAGACGACGATGCCGACAGTGCTGTGCACCGCTACGGAGCTCAAGGCGCCGCAGCCTCTGTTCGAACCCGCACTCCCGCTGGTATGGCGAGATGAGCATGGACACGACTCGCGAGGAACACGGGACGGACTGCTGCTTGGCATCCCCTCCTCATCCCAAGCCTTCCCCTCTCTCCAAGGTTCTGCTCTCGGACGGCGCAACCGCCTTCGCCACCGTCCTCATCTCTGGTATGATTTTTAGAAGCTCTCTCTCCTTATCTCTGGCAGATCCGCCCCGCCGAGCTCACACGAGATCGCACACGAGAGTAGGCGAGATCACGCGAGATCACGCGAGAGTAGGCAGTCTGCCCGCCGAGCTCCGCCGCGCCGCGACGGCAAAGGGCCTGTCGGTCCTCACGCTCGGCGAGCTGGAAAGCGTGGGGCGCTCGCACCTCAGCCTGCTCGGAGCCCTAGAAGCGGAAGATCTCCCCACATCTCCCCCGTATCTCCCCATATCTCGGAGCCCCAGACGCGGAAGACGTGGTCTTGTCTCTCCCAACCAGCGCTCGGTAGGACACGGACTCCGCCGCATTCCGCCGTATCCACCGTCTACTAGAAGCGGAAGACGTGGTCTTGTCTCTCTCAACCAGCGCTCGGTAGGACACGGACTCGGCCGTATTCCGCTGCAGTCCGCTGGTACTCACCGTACTCCGGCCGCTCGTATTCACGCGCTGCTCTGACTACGCCGCACAAGGCTCTCCTCCCGCGCCCTCATGCCGGCGGCTCCACGACGCAGGCTCGGAACGCTGGCGGAGCCGTCGCCAGCAGACCTCGCCTACCTCTGCTACACCTCTGGCACGACGGGCGACCCAAAGGGCGCCACGCTCACAGCACAGCCCCCGGCCCAGATCACATCGCACACGGGCAGTCGAGAGAACGGGCAGGCAGGCAGAGAGCGACTAGTCAGACAGGCAGACAGAGAGCGACTAGTCAGACAGGCAGGCAGAGAGCGACTAGTCAGGCAGGCAGGCAGAGAGCGACTAGTCAGACAGGCAGACAGAGAGCGACTAGTCAGACAGGCAGGCAGAGAGCGACTAGTCAGACAGGCAGGCAGAGAGCGACTAGTCAGACAGGCAGGCAGAGAGCGACTAGTCAGACAGGCAGACAGAGAGCGACTAGTCAGACAGGCAGGCAGAGAGCGACTAGTCAGACAGGCAGGCAGAGAGCGACTAGTCAGACAGGCAGACAGAGAGCGACTAGTCAGACAGGCAGGCAGAGAGCGACTAGTCAGACAGGCAGGCAGAGAGCGACTAGTCAGACAGGCAGGCAGAGAGCGACTAGTCAGTCAGGCAGGCAGAGAGCGACTAGTCAGACAGGCAGGCAGAGAGCGACTAGTCAGACAGGCAGGCAGAGAGCGACTAGTCAGACAGGCAGGCAGAGAGCGACTAGTCAGACAGGCAGACAGAGAGCGACTAGTCAGACAGGCAGCGCCGAGTCCCACGGCACGGCCCACGGGTCAGGCGCCGTGCTGGCAGAGAGCGACTAGTCAGGCAGCGGACCCACAGGAGCAGCACACGGCTTAGCTCGTCCAGATCTCGACACATCGCGTCTAAACCCTAGACCTAACTCGAGAGCACACCTAGCCGCGAACGCCGCCCGGCGCCTTCTTGCCGCCCCAAGACGCTGGGGTCACGGACTAGAGTCGAGCGCGTCGGAGAGGGCGGGCTCGACACCGAGTGCTTTGAACGTTGCGGCCAGGCGCCATGCTCACCCACGGCAACTTGCTCGCCGCCGTCGGCATGGCGTCGTACCCCTCGATCTCCGTCTTCAGCTACGACCCGGGCGGGCCTCAGGAGGCGCACACATCTCCCCAGATCTCCGCAGTATCTCCCCACATCTCGAACAGATCTCCCCCACATCTCCCCCCGTGAGGGGCACACATCTCCCCAGACCTCCGCAGTATCTCCCCCCGTGAGGTGCACATCTCGAACAGATCTCCCCCACATCTCCCCCCGCGAGGTGCACATCTCCTACCTCCCGCTCGCGCACATCTTCGAGACGGTCGTGATGAACTTCTGCCTCTTCCGCGGTACGCGGCAACATGCACATGCACATGCACATGCACATGCACATGCACATGCACATGCACATGCACATGGACATGGACATGGACATGGACATGGACATGGACATGGACATGGACATGGACATGGACATGGACATGGACATGGACATGGACATGGACATGCACATCACATGCACATGCACATGCACATGACATGTACATGTGCCACACTACTCAGCCGCGTGTGGAGCAGTATGGAGTGTCATCGACTCACAACGCTCACTCGCTCCAGAAGCGGACGGCTTCACACCGACGCCGCCGCTCCGCCGTGAAAGCACATCCCCGCCCTCTCGGCCGCCCCTCCCTCGACGGCTAATCCTCACGCCCAGGCGCCGCCGTGGAAGAAAAGAATTCGGCGGCGGACGAACGCGGCGGTCGTCACGCTAGGCGCGGCCGTCGGCTTCTACCAGGGAGACACCCTCAAGATCGTCGACGACCTGCAAGCCCTGCGGCCGACGATCTTTGTCTCCGTCCCGCGGCTGTACAACCGCATCCACGACAAGATCGTCGGCGGCGCGAGGGCAAAGGGACCTAGAAGCGGAAGACGCGATTCCTGTCCGCCAACCAGCGCTCGGTAGGACACGCGTTCAACTGTACTCCGCCGCACCCCGCTGTATTCACTGTACTCGTACCCCCTCGGCTTCACTTGCGGTGCTCTGAAGACGCTGCACAAGACCGTCCTCCCGCCCCGATGTCGGCGTACTCAGCACTGCAGGCCAAGGGCGGGCTGTTCACAGCTGGAGGTGTGAAGAGACGCTGCTCACAGCGAGTTGTAGGCCAAGGGCGGGCTTGCCGGCAAGCTTTTCTTCAAGGCGCTCGACGCGAAGCTGCAGCGGCTGCATGCGACCGGCTCGGGCGAGCACCGCCTCTACGACGCGCTCATCTTCTCAAAGGTTCTCCCCGTTTCTCCCCGTTTCTCCCCGCATCTGCCCGCGTATCTGCCCGTATCTGCCCGCGTATCGGCCCGTATCTCCCCGTATCTCCCCGTATCTCCCCGTATCTCCCCGTATCTCCCCCTATCTCCCCGTATCTCCCCGTATCTCCCCGCCTTCTCAAAGGTTCGGAGGCAGCTCGGGCTTGACCGATGCGCAAAGATGCTCTGCGGCTCCGCGCCGATCGCCGCCGACGTCAAGGATTTTCTCCGCGTCGCGATCGGCGCGCCGCTCATCGAGGGGTACGGGCTGTGAGCGGCGTCTCTTCACACCTGCAGCTGTGGACAGGCGCGCCGCTCATCGAGGGGTACGGGCTGTGAGCGGCGTCTCTTCACACCTGCAGCTGTGAACAGGCGCGCAGTTCATCGAGGGGTACGGGCTGTGAGCGGCGTCTCTTCACACCTGCAGCTGTGGACAGGCGCGCAGTTCATCGAGGGGTACGGGCTGTGAGCGGCGTCTCTTCACACCTGCAGCTGTGAACAGGCGCGCAGTTCATCGAGGGGTACGGGCTGTGAGCGGCGTCTCTTCACACCTGCAGCTGTGAACAGGCGCGCAGTTCATCGAGGGGTACGGGCTGTGAGCGGCGTCTCTTCACACCTGCAGCTGTGGACAGGCGCGCAGTTCATCGAGGGGTACGGGCTGTGAGCGGCGTCTCTTCACACCTGCAGCTGTGGACAGGCGCGCAGTTCATCGAGGGGTACGGGCTGTGAGCGGCGTCTCTTCACACCTGCAGCTGTGGACAGGCGCGCAGTTCATCGAGGGGTACGGGCTGTGAGCGGCGTCTCTTCACACCTGCAGCTGTGGACAGGCGCGCAGTTCATCGAGGGGTACGGGCTGTGAGCGGCGTCTCTTCACACCTGCAGCTGTGGACAGGCGCGCAGCTCATCGAGGGGTACGGGCTGTGAGCGGCGTCTCTTCACACCTGCAGCTGTGAACAGGCGCGCAGTTCATCGAGGGGTACGGGCTGTGAGCGGCGTCTCTTCACACCTGCAGCTGTGGACAGGCGCGCCGCTCATCGAGGGGTACGGGCTGTGAGCGGCGTCTCTTCACACCTGCAGCTGTGGACAGGCGCGCAGTTCATCGAGGGGTACGGGCTGTGAGCGGCGTCTCTTCACACCTGCAGCTGTGAACAGGCGCGCAGTTCATCGAGGGGTACGGGCTGTGAGCGGCGTCTCTTCACACCTGCAGCTGTGAACAGGCGCGCAGTTCATCGAGGGGTACGGGCTGTGAGCGGCGTCTCTTCACACCTGCAGCTGTGGACAGGCGCGCAGTTCATCGAGGGGTACGGGCTGTGAGCGGCGTCTCTTCACACCTGCAGCTGTGGACAGGCGCGCAGTTCATCGAGGGGTACGGGCTGTGAGCGGCGTCTCTTCACACCTGCAGCTGTGAACAGGCGCGCAGTTCATCGAGGGGTACGGGCTGTGAGCGGCGTCTCTTCACACCTGCAGCTGTGGACAGGCGCGCAGTTCATCGAGGGGTACGGGCTGTGAGCGGCGTCTCTTCACACCTGCAGCTGTGGACAGGCGCGCAGTTCATCGAGGGGTACGGGCTGTGAGCGGCGTCTCTTCACACCTGCAGCTGTGGACAGGCGCGCAGTTCATCGAGGGGTACGGGCTGTGAGCGGCGTCTCTCCACACCTGCAGCTGTGGACAGGCGCGCAGTTCATCGAGGGGTACGGGCTGTGAGCGGCGTCTCTTCACACCTGCAGCTGTGGACAGGCGCGCAGTTCATCGAGGGGTACGGGCTGTGAGCGGCGTCTCTTCACACCTGCAGCTGTGAACAGGCGCGCAGTTCATCGAGGGGTACGGGCTGTGAGCGGCGTCTCTTCACACCTGCAGCTGTGAACAGGCGCGCAGTTCATCGAGGGGTACGGGCTGTGAGCGGCGTCTCTTCACACCTGCAGCTGTGAACAGGCGCGCAGTTCATCGAGGGGTACGGGCTGTGAGCGGCGTCTCTTCACACCTGCAGCTGTGGACAGGCGCGCAGTTCATCGAGGGGTACGGGCTGTGAGCGGCGTCTCTTCACACCTGCAGCTGTGGACAGGCGCGCAGTTCATCGAGGGGTACGGGCTGTGAGCGGCGTCTCTTCACACCTGCAGCTGTGAACAGGCGCGCAGTTCATCGAGGGGTACGGGCTGTGAGCGGCGTCTCTTCACACCTGCAGCTGTGGACAGGCGCGCAGTTCATCGAGGGGTACGGGCTGTGAGCGGCGTCTCTCCACACCTGCAGCTGTGGACAGGCGCGCAGTTCATCGAGGGGTACGGGCTGTGAGCGGCGTCTCTTCACACCTGCAGCTGTGGACAGGCGCGCAGTTCATCGAGGGGTACGGGCTGTGAGCGGCGTCTCTTCACACCTGCAGCTGTGGACAGGCGCGCAGTTCATCGAGGGGTACGGGCTGTGAGCGGCGTCTCTTCACACCTGCAGCTGTGGACAGGCGCGCAGTTCATCGAGGGGTACGGGCTGTGAGCGGCGTCTCTTCACACCTGCAGCTGTGGACAGGCGCGCAGTTCATCGAGGGGTACGGGCTGTGAGCGGCGTCTCTCCACACCTGCAGCTGTGGACAGGCGCGCAGTTCATCGAGGGGTACGGGCTGTGAGCGGCGTCTCTTCACACCTGCAGCTGTGGACAGGCGCGCAGTTCATCGAGGGGTACGGGCTGTGAGCGGCGTCTCTTCACACCTGCAGCTGTGGACAGGCGCGCAGTTCATCGAGGGGTACGGGCTGTGAGCGGCGTCTCTTCACACCTGCAGCTGTGGACAGGCGCGCAGTTCATCGAGGGGTACGGGCTGTGAGCGGCGTCTCTTCACACCTGCAGCTGTGGACAGGCGCGCAGTTCATCGAGGGCTACGGGCTTACCGAGACCTCTGCGGCGGCGACGATCTGCCACCCAGGATTCCGACTCTTTGCGGGGTAGGGGTAGGGTCGCACCGCGGGGTTAAGGGGTAGGGGGGGAGGGGGGGGGGGGGTCCCGGTAGTACCCTTTCCTTACCCCGCCAAGAGGCGGAAACCTGGGTGGCAGATAGTTGCCGCCGCAGGGGTCTCGGTA